ACTTGTGATATTTTCTGAACCACATGAAGCTAAAAGCAGAATGATTCTCCAAATTAAACTATATTTTTATTTAATTTATTTCTAATTTTGGGACCCCACATTGTAGATATCACAAGTTAACTTCTGCATTTTTTTGGCTAATGTGCACAAAGATGGGTTTTCATATTTCACCTCTCCCATAATTAGACATTATTGGATGTCCAATATTTTACATTATGAATTAAGGACATTGTGAGAAATAACAGTGGAAATTTCAGACTTTTATCTTTAATATTTTTTGAGATATTGTTGATCAAACAGCCTCAAATTTCAAAATGTGGAAAAAAAAAACAAACAGCTGAATAAATATCCTGAATATCTGGATTTTATGCTCCAAAAAATTCCAACAAATCAGAGACGGTCGAGCAGAAATTCCTCTAAAAATGATTTCAGATGGAATAAATTTCCTGCATTACTTTAATATTAGTCTGGATTCCAACTTTCCGTTCCTGTCGTAATAATCTCGTTTTTTTCTGCCTTCACAGGAGGTCGGAGCGAAGAAAGAGCGCCTGGACTTCGAGCAGTTTCACAAATTTTATAACCTCGTCATGTTTGAACAGAACGAGGTGAGTCTGAAGTAAATAAATAAAAGCTGAATTCATTAAATATTGTTCTACACAGAGTTTTAATTCAGGCTGTTGTTCTAAACTCAGATCCTCGATGAGTTCAAAAAGGAAACGTGTGCGTTTATTCTGGGGTGAGTTTGTTGTTTTGTTTTTTCTATTTTCATGTCATTTCCTGTGTGAACGCTGTTTGACTTTCGTTCTTCCTGCAGTAACACGGATAAACCAGAAGCTTCGGCCGTTCTGCTGCACGACTTCCAACGATTCCTCATCTACAACCAAAAGGTGAAAAACAATAAAACTGCAGTGAAAGTTTTCTACTGCAGAGAAGAACGTTTTTATTTGGTGTTGCAGAGATAGTAATAAAGCTTTTCATCAATTAAAAACCATTACAATATGTATATAATGAAAATATGAAGTCATAAATGTGCTTATGAAATAGGTAATTCCTCTAAAAATATAAAAGTTAGGCTTTTATGTAAGCCTGATTTAAGAAACAGCTCATGAAGGAGCAACTGTAAATGACCTCTAGTATGAGCACAGTATTTCTATAAACATGTTGTTTTTATGTTTACTCACTCATTTTTTGAGCATTCGTTAAGGTCGTGTTATCGTTTATTTAATTACACCAGGCGTCAAATTCTGAGCTTTTATTTTGAAAGCGCCTCACTCGAGTTTTAGCTCTGTGTCGGAATATGAAAGTGCGCCGGTGTGTAGAAGAGCACGTCCAAGGAGTGACAAGAAAGTGATTGTTGTGTTTGCGTAGCTCCCGGCTGATGTGGCACAAACTCTGAAGGTGAGTTCATGAGTGACATAAAAACACTATGAACCATCAGTCAAAGCCTACGACCATCACTCAGCCGGGGATGCTGCAGCAACAATGTCGACACTGATGTTATCTTTTGTCACGTTTAGCGTCTTTGAAAGATTTAAGCTGCATTTATATGTACTTACGGACTTTTTATGCTTTAATTAGAATGTATGTTGATTTCGTGACCAAACGTTTACATACACCTGAGTTTCCACTGACTCCTATAACTCTGAATTTTTTGTGGAATCACGGAAACACACGAGTCTTTGTCACAAGAACAACCCTGCAGTTTGGTTCTTCTTTGGGTCTTCTGGAAACATGACGAAATCTGTTGGGTCAAAAGTATACATACACAACTTGAGTTATCCGTTTTGGTGATGGAGGAAGTTTAGTTGATCCAGTGTTCTTAGTTTCATGGCCTCTTCTGAGCTATTTGGCCTCAATGAGCAGAACCATGTCTGGAGGAGAGAAGGTGAGGCCTTTAACCCCAAGAACACCAAACCTGCCATCAGGCATGGAGGTGGCAGCATCATGCTCTGGGGCTTTAAGTAAATGGAACAATGAAGAAGGAGGAGGATCACCTCCACGTTGTTCAGGAAAACCTCAAACCATCAGCAGAAGGTTGATCTTGGACACAGTTGGATGTTCCAACCAGACAATGAGTCCAAACACACATCAAAGTGGTGAAGAAATGGTTCCATCAGGCTGGAATGAAGGTTCTAGACTGGTTCTCCCCAAAGTCCTGACTGGAACCATCAAGAAGAAACAAGTCGGTGACAGAAAACCAACAAAAGTAGTTGAACTGCACCAATTCTGTCCAGAGGAGTCAATGATATAACTGGAAGCTTGAAACCAAAAGAACCTAGCTGAGGTGAAAATGGACAAATTTAACCAAATATGAACATTTCTGTAGGTACAGTTTTGACCCAGCAGATGTAATATTTTCAGAAAACCTTCATACATTCATAAAAGAACCAAAATGCAGGAGTGTTTTTGTTTCAACGATTCCATCGTAGAAAAGTCAAAGTTACAGTTACTGAACACTCAGGACTGCCGTGGTATTCGTGGTCTTTACAAGCGGATGGAGACTTTTGTCCACGACTGTAACAGTTTGACAGCTTGTTGATTGTTGACGTTGGTTCCTCAGGACCTCTGGGCCACTGATCTGAACCAGGTCCGAGAACTGATGACCACCTTTATTGACGACACCATGAGGAAAACCAACGACCCGGAGTTCACCGTCAGCGAGGTATTCGGCTCCTGTTAGCATCTCAAAAAGGCGGCTGGTTGTGTTTTAACATCAGAAACATCCTGGTTTTATAAAGAACCTGTCGCTGACTCTGAAGTCTTTCTCCTCTCCTAGTTCCTCGGGTACCTGTTCTCCAAGGAGAACTCGGTGTGGGACGAGAAGTTCTCCGAGATCAGCAACCTGGACATGAACTACCCGCTGTCGCATTACTGGATCAGCTCGTCGCACAACACGTCAGTTTGACGACACTCATGCTCACAAACTACACAAAACAGAACAGAAGAGCTGTTTGTGTTACGTTTGTGGTCTTTTTCCTTCCATTTGTGGTTGTTTAGCGGCTCTCTGTAGTCAGTCAGTCTGTTGTTGTTGTAGTTTTGCGTCTCTTCTTTGTGGTTCCCTGGTGAGGTTTTGTTGTGTCTTTGTTTTGGCTTTTTTTC